ATGTACAAAATAGTTGTGCCCAATTATCAGTATCTGTATAACGCAGTGCAGATGGCGACAGATTTAAATCAACATCTCTAAAAAATAAAAAACTGATCCTTTATGAAGGTAGAATTTATCACAGGACTGTTGTCTTGGGCTGCATTCACTTAACTAGAGATGTGTGCTGCAAGCGAATTTGTGCGATTAATTTGAACTTTTCATCGAATTTTGAAACGTTGCACCCTCGAACACTGAACGCACAATGCCCCCGGTTCATCCTAATCATCTTAAGTGCCTCAGGAGAAGGAAACCGGACTTCTTTTTAGTTTTCATAAAGACATCTCACCTCTCATTCAAGAAGAGGTTCATCTTTATTTATATACAGTCCGCGGATATAATTCATAGTTACAGCTCGTATATAGGATGCCAGACTGTAATTACACTGAGTGTGTGCAGGAGCATTCGCTTGCACAGAAAATATGTTTGTTTTTTTTTCCATTAAACTTAAAGGTTGGAAAACTGGTGGTAAAAGGCGCTAGTTAAGAGGAGCAAGGAAATACTGCACCAGTGACTCTATTGACATTCTGTCTCCTGCATAACAGCAAGAGGTCAACCATCAGAGCGCTGGAAGGAGCATCAGCATGTAGAAGTTGTGCCTCTTTTTTGCCACCTCTCACACATGCCTGCGCTGAGTTTTTACAATGAGCTTTGCATTCGTAGCCCTGATCTCACCTTAGCTTCTTTTTCTTTTCCCTGCCTCAAAGGATTAATCAGAGGCTTTTATAATGCAGCCACGAATAAGCAGACATGTCTCTTTCTCCTCCCTTTGACCTGAATGCAGCAGCAGCAGCAGCCTTCCTCCCCCTTTAGTAAAGACTGCCATGGGAGCACATCAAACACATGCCCTCTGCACCCGAGGCAATGAAAAATAAATCAACAAACAAATGAATAAGTAATCACAAAGGGTGGGGAGGAAAAAAAGCCTTTAAAATATATGCAAGAAGCACATTTATCTGCAGTTTTTATGTTTCGGAGCCTTTTGTGTTTGTGATAATCCGATGTGTATTTTGGGAAACATGTCAGGTCCCTGATCTCATTTGATTTAGGTTCATTGTTCCTTTTCTGATCAAGCAAGATGTAAAAAAAAAAAAAAAAAAGCTTCAGTGGGTTGTGTTTTGTGTATGGCATTGTTGGATATACAGCGTGCATCGCTCCCCACAGGCTTGTTGCATTTGAGCCAAGAAATCTAAAAACTAAAAACACCTCGTCGACGCTGGGTGATGTCTTTGCTGGAAGAATGCGCTTTTTATCCTGCAAAAGAGCCACCTTGATGTTTTAGAGATTGCTTCGTAGCGAGGCGAGCTCAGAGGCATCGTCCAGATGGTCACACCTGTGTGCACAGCTGTGGAGTAGCTGTAAGTTGAATAGAGAAATAAGCACAAAGATACTCATTCAGTTGGCAATAAGGTTATTTTTTGAAATAAAGGGTGTATCATCATTGAAACAGTAAACCATTCAGTGCAATTAATTACCTCTAGAAAGGCTGCATATGCTGCAGCGCTGGTGGGTGAAAAAGGAGGAAAAAATCAGACTCCTGCTCCTCATTGTGCAGCCGCCTGATTCACTGACCCATGCTGTTTGTAGTTTATGTATATCTGCTGGGCCATGTCAATCAACTCTTAATGTGCATTAGGTTCCGCTTCTGATGTTGACATGCAGGCCATTAATTCACATCAAGGACACCTTGGTAATAGACTTGTATCACGTAAATATAGTGGCTGTTAGTTTGCAAACAGCTTAGCAAGCAGCGAGCGTTCCATGTGCTTTGATTCGATGCTAAGTGCTTCATCAATCACAATCCCAGACAGATCATTAGAGGCTTCTAGGATGACAAGACCAGCCAAAACATCTACAGCAGATTGCTCCAGACCACCTCTCAAACCTTTAATTACGCCCGAGGTTGGCAGTTATCAAAGACATGCAGTGATAAGTGACTGACTCAATAGTAGCCATTAGTTAAAGAAACTTGTTAGTGTCAGGGTTTTAAATGATTTGCGTTATAGCGTACCAGACCCAAACAGAAAAGTATACTTTAAATGGCTTATTGGGCAAATTACTTGCTGCACCGCGCGGTGCAGTTTTTGACTTCAGATTGAAACAGGTGACTTTTTAAACACATGAACAATTCAAAGACGCTGCTCGCACCAATACAGTAGCCACCTGTACGTCATACGGTAGCCCCACCTTAAAACATATCACTGCTTTATCACATATTTTGTTCTAAATGGGGCCAAAATTTACAAAATAAATATCGTGCTGTACTGAAGGAGACTTGAAACTAGTGATTGAGACCATAAAATGATGAAGAAAGTGTTTAGTTAGGTAACAAATCAAGTGAGAAGCAGGGTCATTTTCTCATAGACTTCTATGCAATCGGCCTTCTTTTTGCAGAGGAGTTGCTCTACCTGCTAGCTCTTCAAAAGAGTGCAGGTTAAGAATGCATCCAAAGCAAACCTTTGATTTTTACCTTTAGTTTGAAGTCTATAGGGGAACATACTGGTAGAATCATGAGACACTGCACACTGTTGGAGGGCCAACTAACAAAACGCTTCCAAAGTGCTTGTCCTTTTCAGAAAAAGGGGGTTAAAGTGAAACATTGGCTTGCCATGACGTGATACAAACACTTTTCTCTACCTTAATAATTCCTTAATCTTCTTTCTAGCACCACCATTTGGCCAATACTTCATTTTTAGCCCCCAGTACCCAACTGTAGTTAGTAAATGTCTATAGCTTATAGTATGTTTTATAGGTAACTAAACAAAGATGGAGGGCATTATATCTGCTATGTATTAGCATATTTATTATTATTATTATTATGAGAATGCTTGCTGTTGCTTAGCTTTGTATGCTAAAGATGGAGGCAGTACTACTGGAGCTGTTAACATGTTGTAGACTTGTGTTTAAAGATATTACAGTAAAGAACACAATCCCCACAAGTGGTTTTGCCATAGATGTACACAGTAAGAATAACATTTGGCTACATTTAGCATGTCTGCATTATTTCTTAATTTTATTATCATCTACAAATCCCAGGAACACGCCAGAACCAACGCTGGATTATCCTACAAAAAAAAAGGTCTGTGTACTCAAGGCTAGACATAGGTTACTGTATAAGTGCTATAGAATTCCATCAAAGAGTCATACGGTTGCAACGATGAAAACATCAGGGGATTTCCTGATAAAAATATCCCTATGCTTAAACAATCCATTGCTCAACTGCAAGCTCCTCGGAGTCCAAGATTAGACAGCTACAGATGCACTATGCAGCTCCCAGCAAGCACACTCAGTCAACTTTGCCTCAAACAAATAAAGGCTATAAATGGGAATTTGTTCAGCGTGTACTCATATTGTAAGCAAAACATGCCCTTTTGTCCTTCCTGCCCACCTGCTTAATGGAAACACAGCGCTGCGCCAGTGTAACACCTTGGGAATGATCGGTAATGTGTGTGTTTATGTGTCGGTGTGCGAGGCTGCCGGTGCCGCAGGACAGTTCGTTATCTTCCAGATGAGCGGCCGGCTGATACATACCAGAGCAGGCAGCCGGCGTCCAGGGTCACAGGGTAACTGTCACGGGCCCTTCACCTGTGCCTGCCCTGTCAGAAGGGATCCTAGAAAGAGCATGTCTAGACACATTAACTCACACCAGTCCCTCCAGAGTTACTCTGGGGTCCAGCTGCCCCCTGGTGAGCGGAAGGGAGAAAAGTCCCTGAGCCGAGCGAGTTGAGGGTGATTTAATTTACCGCTGACTTTGTCATCAAACTAAATTTGTCTACACTCATAATTTTCCAGTCTAATTATAATTCAGAACCCCAGATCACCCATGAAGTACACTACTCATTCAGCATATTTCTCTATAGCCCACAGCTTTACACCCGCCTCCCATGTTCTGCTCTGGATATATATCCAGTGTAGCATCAGTGACTGTTTGCCTCGGGAGGGTTGTAGTGCTTATTCCAGCAGACAGAGCGGGGAGATCACATGAATATCAGATCCCAGCGGAGCTTTAGCTTTGGCTGCTGTTTAAAGCCTAATCAATGAAAGAAACGTGACCCGTGTCTATCTGTTGTGTGCAGGGCGACAAGCTGTTTCTGGGAACACTGCATGCTGCGTGTGATTCAGGAAAGAGATCATATATAGAACAAGCCTCCACACCAGATACTGTATCATTTGTAAATGATTTACAGCACTGTTAGGCATATAATTTAATGACTACATTTAACACCTGAGCAAATTGTTGAACGGCGCGGCGGCAAAATGCAACAGAAGCTCCGTGGATTTGAGCTTGCTGACTATGGAGATTTGACTGATTTAGCTGCAGGCACAGGCTACCTTCAATGTCCAAAGCTATTAGTGATTCCTGTACTACTAAAGCGCTGCTCCAGGGTACCCATTTCCTTGCATTAATGTCTACCTTCCACCACAGCAAATCAAAGGCTTATTCTAATGCCTCTGCCTACCTCAGTGTACTCCCTAAATAACACAGGTTAGAGGGCTCACGGGCTTTTGATGGCCAGAATAAAATGGAGAGAGATAGAAACATGCCACTTTTCCTTGTACATTTGAAAGCAGAACAATTTATTATCAAGAACAAGAATATCAAACAAGAGAGAGAGAGAGAGGGGAAAAAAAGTTCATGGTTTTCATAAACTTGTTTTCACTGCAATTTGACCACTTAAACGCTTCCAGCACAGAGAGAATGACTTATTAAGCTTGGAGGTTCTTCCATTTAATCTTACGCCTCTAGTTACAGTTTCTCATATTTTTTTTTTTGCCTTATCATGTAAATATAGAACTGCTTTGCTGAAACCAGAGATCACAACAGTAGTTATTAAGAGGCTATTCAAAAGGGGTTTTTGTTAAATGTCTGTAAAGTGCTTTATAGCCCCCCTTTTTTTGTCCTCATCACAGAAAAGATAAGTGGCTCTACTGAGTCCGGTTTGTGATCTGGGTTTTTGTTTTTATTGCCAATCAAAGGTGCGCTTCACCAGCCTGAAGAAGGTTCGGTTGTGCTCCTGCAGGTAGGAGCGGAGCTGCTGCAGGACAGTGCTGTTGACGGCGGGGTGAGGACGTCCCTTAGACTCGTGGAGACAGCGCTCCCGGCCGTCACTTCGGATGCAGTAAAACCCCTTGGTCTGGTTGAAGTAGAAGTTGGAGGATACTATCCTGGGAGGCAAGTTAAGGAAGCGCTCTACCTTTTGAAGCTCTGGGAGGGGGTCACGGATCAGGGCGTCCCCATCCACTATGTGTATCTGTTCCAACGGGAAGTAGCGCAGCCAGTTACGCATGTGGACGTCGTACAGGCTCCTCTGAATGGCCTTGTACCGGATATTCAGGGCTCCATTGCGCACTAGCAGGTTCTCGATGGCTTGCACCGGCTTGTGGTTCTCCAGCCGGTTAAAGTACACCTGGGTGTAGTCGGAGATGACCCGCTCGGCTGGGTCTCGTAAGATCAGCAGCAGCTTTATGGACGAGTTCATGGCACAGATGCGTTCTGGTGCGAGGGCTGATGTGAAGTAACCTGGTGTTTTCTCTACTGTGATCTGGTGTGGGTAAGAGTAGGGCATCAACTCGCGGTACCACTCGAAGCCCTTGGCATAGTTCTCATCCCAGTCAAAGAAGTGCACCTCGGTGGCAGCAGCAGCGACCTCAGGGTGTATGTCCAGCATCTCCAACAGCGCTCGAGTGCCTCCTTTGCGTACCCCAATGATGATACTATGTGGGGCTCGTTTGCTCGTTCCTGGGGGCGGAGACGAGGTTACATCTCCAGAGACGTTAGCTGCTAGTCCAGGATCAAGGTCCATGGGTTCCAGTGTTATATCAAATCCTGTCTGGACGAACTCTGGCGGGGCAGCGTATGTCTGGAGAACCAGAAGGAAGGCAGATGCCAGAAAGCAAGTCATGGTGATGGACTGAAGAGTGGAGATTGGCAAAGAGACGGGAGTACGGAGACGGTGGTTTAGCTGTGGACCAGATCTGTCTTTCTGAGCTCAGTGTTAACAAGAGCAGTGAGAAATGCAGTCTTTGTCTGCCATTGAATTTGAACTGGAGGAGGAGGGAAAATCATCTGCAGTCCACAGCACATCTGTAGAGAAGAACAAAGAGAAAAAAAAAAGAAGAAAAGGCTTTCAGATTTCACCCATATAAAGCAGAATGAATGTCTGTATTATACTGAAATGGCACTTTCCTCATTCCCGTGAAAAAGCAATCCAGCCATAAATACAATCCATGTCTGTTATAAGTGTATCATCTCAAAAGGATAATCTCAATTCATCTTTCTTTGAGTCTCTTCTCATCTTCCGCCTTCCCATCTGCTTTCTCTTCTCACTCTATAAAGTCACTTTCAATTGATACTGTAATTTCTCCCGCTGAAAAACATTTAGCCAGACAGCTCATCAGAAAATGTGTCTGAGATTTGCAAGTGTGGCTGAAGGCCAAAAGCCAAGGCCGGAGTGCTTTGTCTTTCTTTAGCAGGTCAAAATCTGCACCGGAATCAATGCACTTAACACACCCACCCCCAGATGGTCGAAATCAAGGCATCTGGAGACGAACAGAGATAAATTTATTGCAGGAAATCAGATGAGTTCCCACTTCTAGGTTAGTTTGATTTCCTATACATGCCTGGAAAGATCGATAGTAGGGCAATGAAATTCAGCAAACAAAAAGGAGAAGGATTTACGGTGTTACATTTGGCTTATATTATTGAAGAAGAGCTCTGCAAAAAAACCATGGGAAAACTGAAAACTGCTGCCTCATCTTATTTTTAAAGATTATATATATTTCTGCTGATACAAGTTGTAATACTTGCATTGTTTTCCTGCCTCCAACAGGCACTTGTCAAATGGTTTGCCTTCACTTAACCAAGACCGTCGCTCTGCAGCGAGCAGCCGGGAGATGAAACAGCGGCACACATTTTTATAAATGTCATGGAATTAATTTAAAAAACAAAAGTCTTGAGATACCTTCACGAGGAAAACCAGCTGAGAGAGCTGTTGCTTGCACTGTGCTAGTCAAAACAACAGGGCTCGGCTATGCAAACATCCAGCTCCAACAGCAAAGGTCACGGGAAGGTAATCTAAACAAACGCAGATATTCCCTGCCTGGGAACACACTGCAACGCACACCAGCCCTATTCTCCACGCTTTCACCACGACAGGCAACACGTTCGGTACATATTACTCATTCCATATATTGTCGGCTACAAATGGCTCACAGATCCTACGAACACATTTTCAAAACTGCCCTGTTTCTATGGAGTCACTGTGACACATTTTGACAGGATTTTTGCATAGTGGGGGTAATTTCCCTTCCACGAACATGCTGAATTCCTGGCTCACTTTCTGTAGATGGCATTCACTGTAATTACATCTGTTGGGATTTAGAGAAGAAAAGAGCATATTATTATATAAATTTGTTCTTTCATTTCTTTCATAGCAGCAGGGACGCTGCACATTGCAGCAGTTCTTTTCTTAACAGTCCTTTCTGTCCATTTTCCCCTATAATTATCAGAAAAGACAGAAAAAAAAGTCTGTTCTGTACTCTGCATATAAAGAAAGACTGAGGAAATGCCATATTGTGGTGTTTCCATCTTACTGAATATTTGCAGTTAAATAAAAAGTGTAAAAAAAAAAGTAAAATAACAGTTTAATTCCAAAAGGATCCACCGTTACAAACATCAAGAGCCAGTTTGTCATTATAAATTGATGCGAAAGTGTAATCTGTGGATAGAAACTATCAATAAATTAGATTGCAAGAGTGTCGTCACTCGTGAGGCATGCATAAAATATCTTTGCTTGAATCTGTGTGACTGAGTTGTTTTTAGCGACCAACTGTTATTATTAATTCTCTGCTTGCAGACATAATCTGCCTTGAGTACAGTTTAATCACAGAAGTTGTCCCTCTAATTAAGTGAATGTGAGGAGTGTAACTACCAATGTGCATAACACATTCCTCTGATGTCACCACTGGCCCTTTTCTCACCTTACAGAGTCTTTCAACCATATAAAGGTTATGACACATGCCCCCGCTTCACACTACGATTTGTGGCTCGAGTGTGGGACAGGGTCTGCGTCTGCTGAACGCAGGAGAGCCGACCTGCCCTACAGGGCCCAGGGTTGTGCAAGGAGGCACTTATGTGCTGTGACAGGCGCGCCTGCCTGTCAGCGTTTCCCTGGCAGAGAGCTGCCAAGTCCAATGCTAACAGCCAGGCAGCCAGACGAGCTTTCTGTCTCATCCAATTCCCCCCACTCTTCTCACAGCACACCACCACCTGGAAGGAGCCATTGTTTCACATTCCACTGGGCCTTATTGCTTTATTCAGCACTTGATGCACATCTTTCCAGCTTTTCATTCAGCACATGGCAGCCACGTTATCTGGCAGACCACTTAACCAAGAATATTTCCAGTGAACATTGTGGGGCCGGCACAGGTTGACGGGGAAGAACCAAGACCACAGCGAGTCCTGGGAGTACAATATAGCATCTGTGTGTGGTGGTTCAGGAGTGTAGACTCAGATCTCACATCTGGGCACTTATTCACCCATGGAGTTTGCATGTTTTACAATTTCTTATTTCCTTCAGGCACTATGGAGATCCACCATCTTAATCCTCTGCAGCCATGAAGGTGTGGTCAAGAAGTGGCAAGGGAAAATGATGGAAGTGGAAATACTCTGGACACACTGTTTTATCAAACAATCACCACACCAGCATGCATAAAAACGATCCCTGTGGCTGTGAGGCGTTTGAAATTTTAAGAAACGAGAATATTGGACAGTCGCCAACCCAGAACTGAGGTATCACAGTATTAATGCATTTCTAATACGGACAATTATTACCTCCTGAATTACAGTTAATTCCCTCCCTCTCTGTTAAAATGGCTAGACATTTTTAATGAGATTGGAAATGAAGGAGGCCAGTTTGGGACAAGAAGCAAAGACCACACTTCGACTGAATTAGTTTTACATGTATTATCTCTGTAAGTGTCCACTCATGCTCGAGCTCTCTCTCCCTGCCTTGCACACTGCCATATTCTCCATCCCCACTCCGACCCTGATTATGAATAAGTGGGTATGGAAATTGAACTCGGTACAGTCAAAGGCATGGCTGCTGAGATAGCAAAAAAAAAAAAAATCAAACCTATAGTGCATTACCACTTGAACCTCGGATACAGAGCTTCCGCACACACAAGAGCTGCACTTGCCCGCCATTATCTAGGTTTTAAAACTTGTCTGGCACCAGAGCAAAAGTGCTGCCTATCGCCTGAGCAGACAGCACAGCCAACAGATCTGCACTATTCATTATATCCCACCAGGCTAAGAGGAGGGCTCCACAGGTTCCCGGCACCACAGGAAGTCAGGTTCCCACTAATTAACCCAAACAGCCGCCTCTATACATCTCCAGAACAAACCCTCATTCATATTCAGCAGGGCCCCCCTGCCATTAACTGTGGCGGGCATCAGGTATTGTACAGGCCAGCTTTGTTTTTTTTAATGGGTGCTCATTAGAGACGTTAGTGCAAAATAATTATTACTGCAATGAAGCTTGATTACAAAGGGTGGCTTTTGCTGTTAAATGGATTCAAGTGAGGAAGTTAAAAGTATTAGTCATTGTGTCTATTCATTTTTTTTCTGGCACGGTCACACATTTTAAACAATTTGTACACACTCGCAGCTCCACTGTTTTGTTTTCAGTCCAAAAAGAAAATCTAATCTGAAGCAGAACCGAGTGTTGAATTCTCTGGTTTCTCTTATCTCCTGGTTGTGTCTTTGCCTCTCTGCCACCTCTTGTAGCTCTTGTTTCACTGGCTCACAGCGTTGTTGGATGATCTCTCCTAAGATGTTCTGACCCTTCCCCCAAAAAAAACTATCACTTGGGACGGAGAAACGCGAGCACCTTCATTCTGTTTTCTGCTGCACTTTCCCCTTTGCTCCCACTGCTTTTCCTCAGCTTCTCTCTCCAGCAGGCCCTGAAAAACCAGTACAATATACTTCCCACCCACACACACATCCAAATGTAACTCTGAAACTTCACTCCCACATACAGGACTGGTTTTAAATTATGGATGCGTTTCGGTTCACAGTGGGATTCCTGGCTCACTTTAATAATTTCTGTTACAACAACTTAAGGCTTCAGCTGCTCACAGAGGACCGAGATGATCTTTTCTTCTCTTCTTCAACCCGAACCTTATACATACAGTGATACGTCTCATCAGAAAGAGACAGCACAGAAGTCAACACAGTTAGAAAAAAAAAAACTACTTACATATTTAATTTCTGGGGGGATATGAGGTATAATCCAGATCAAAACCAGAAAAATCCCTAATTCCCTAACCTGTGTCAAGTATCCAAGTGCTCTACATCAGCATGCAAAAGGATTTTAGGGGGACACCTTGAGCACTGCGGAGCATTTCAATCCTCCCACAAAGCTTTCTTGATCATGATGTGAAGAAATAAAGAGTGAGTTGTTCCCATCTATTTCATTATTGATATATTACAGCCACTTACTGGTGGGTATATAGGGTTGGAGGCTGTGGCATAGCTTGAGAACAGAGAGTTGCCACTTTCAATCTCCAGGCTGGTCAGGAAAATGTGGTTGGGGAATGAGCAATGCTTCCCCCTCGCTCCCCTGAAAACTAGAACAGAGGTGCCCTTGGCTGGGGTTCCTGTATGCCAGGGATTTAACCCAAGGTTACAAAGTCGGCTCCTTTTTTTTCACAAGAAGCTGTTAATATTAAACAACTGCTCTGATGTGCGATGCTCTTTTCCTGATTAGAATCCATTTCTCGCCAGCTTAGCAACTTCAAATAAATTGTGTAACAACTAGCGGGGAATTACGGCGCGCCAACAATACAGTGTTGGCTCACACCGAGTGGGATCCAAGGTGGTACAGACACACATCAGGAAAACACACTCAATCTACGTGGATACCTGCCGCAGTTAAACGGATGCAGAGAGGTGTTAAATCAACTTTATGATTATTTTAGAGGGTGCAGTTTGTGGTGAAGTCGGACCGCGCGGCATTATACAACGAAGTGTGTTTAAAATGCCTTTGTTGGTTCGAACGTGATGAAAAAAATAATTCAACAACA